AAAAAAAAAAAAAAAAAAAAAAAAAGAGCAGCAGCTATATAAGGACATGTATTCGTTTTTATTTTAAAATCTTTACATTTTCAACATTTTTAATTTTGTGAATTATGAGGGAACTGTTGTTTCATCCCTCTCCCCAAACACAGAAATCTAACCTAGCTATCATCACTTTTAAAGTAAAAAGAAGAAACAAAATGATAGAGGAAGAAAGATTTGTTGGGGGAGGGGGTGGAGGTGGGGGGTGCAAGGCTACCACAAACTTACCCCACCCTCATCCCTTCCTCGATATCTGTTGGGGCCACCTGGTCCCCCAGGTCCACCACAAATTTGGCAAACTGTTTGACATTGATAATGTATCTCGGTTCCTCAGAATCTGCATTGATGATCTTTGTGCATCGAGCAACTTGGAGGGGCTGTTCACCTGGGATGAATGAAAAGAGAAAATTATAGTGTATTTAGAGAAAATACAGGAGTTAACACAAAGCAAAGGCTATAATAATTTCATTATATTCTTCATATGAGTTAAAGATTGCCAAATTTCAAAAGGACAACTTGAAGAGTGCTCAGAGGAAAAAAGAGGGAGATTCATTGGCTTATGCCAATTACTTCAATTCACACAGAAAAATAATTCTTAATTTTTTTGTGACATTTTCAACTTTTAAAACAGCAAAAATTTTAAACATCATATGAACTATTCTTTTTAAAGCATTTTTACTAAATTTGTCCTTAAAAAAAAAAAAAAAAAAAAACTGTCAGTTTCCATACTTTGTAATGTCTGTTTGTCAGCTGCCAAGTCCCATAAAGCTGGTGGGGCCAGACCTGTGTCAGATTCTTTTATACCTGAGGAAATGATAGGGGAAAAAGCTTTGTAATTTGTTAATGTTCAAATCTAGAAAAACATCATAAAAATAAAATAAATTTTAAAAAATATATTTTTATATAGTGTTTTCATTCAAGACATACTCTTCTTAACATAATTTACTTTATATGAAAACAAATTATTACACTGATATTTGTTATTCTAGATAGTCAATGTGCAAGAGTAACCTGTAATGATTGGACTATGGATCACTTAATAACAATACCAAAACTTCTATTTGAAAAGTACCTTAACTTACCTACTAGTTCATTCACCCTCTTAAGTATGTTCTGAATGTCATCTTCACATGCTTTCACAGACTTTGTGTATTGACCAACTCCCTAAAGACAAAGGTACTTTTTTAAATGTTAACAATCTGACTGTACATGGGCTTATGTATTTTTTTCTTTTCATTCATTAAATAAAAAATTTACATGCGTGCCCCTCATGTACTAAGGCACTTTAAATGTAATGATGAATGTGCTTCTTCAAATTTAACCTATTCACCACAGTGACTTATAAGTCTTATGGGGATGTTGGGGATTCAATAGTGTTTAAAAAGGTCATGTCCTACAAGCATTGTTGAATAACTTATTTGTCAATATCATTTTCACTTACATATGTCTTCAGCAGTGCAATATCTCCCTCATCGAGTGCTGAAAATTAAAATAAGTCTCAAAAGTCAAGCCAAAACAAAATTTCAGTCTCAGTAAGAGAAGTAATTTTTGCGTGCAGTTTTCAAATTTAAATAATAATGTAAATCAAGACCAACTCAATTGCCTTGACTAGATTTTTTTACCAAGTGTCAAGCTTTTATTTTGCCACTGACAAACATATTAAATAACTGATCATATGAAGATTGTGTAGCAGTACAAGGTAAGTTTTATCACAGTAAATGTCACTGTGACTCAGCAATGAGCTTTGTGCTCAACCTTGAAGTGCTTATTTGTTTAACTTCCGATGACAAAACTTACATTGGATAGGCTTCTCATCTTTCTCTTCTTCTTTCGTCTTTCTCTGGTCTGCTCCCAAATGATCTGGCATTTTAGTTTTCCGTATATCGACCAAAATATTAAAGTGTTATGATTCCACGACCGGTCAAATCTTCCAATATGGTGGAAAGTCTCGTATTTTCTCGACACGAAAACTGATGACGTCAGCAAGCTTTGCGTATTGACACAAATCCAAGGAAGAAGAATGTTGTTGTATGTGGAAAGTCGGGCCTTTCCAGTGAGTATTTTAATGTAAATCGGGTGCTATTTCATACAAATTAGAAACATGGAGTTAGAATAATGAACACCTTTCCACGCTTTTTATGTTTCATGTGATTTTCAGTCTTAGCTTTATGTTAGAATGGGCGAGAAATGTCTGAATTTTCGAGTGTGGCTCAGCGGTGTAAGTTGCCATATCCACTAACAGTGAGCTGTAATTATAACTTCAGTATAGCCAGGCCTTGGAATGGAAAGGGTACAGTTCAAAGCAGATGATTAAAAGGGTTATTTTAATATTCAGAACCATTCCAGATAGAAAGCATTAGCTGTCCAAGGAAATGTTTCCATTAGATTTTGAGACTAAATTTTAAGAGACTACACTGTATGGTTTTCACAATTTGCCCACTTTTCCAAATCATTTGTGACATTTAATTCACTTTCAGCATAAGACATTTGTGGTCTTAGCCCAGCCGAATGACACAATAGCACGAGTGCGTGCCCACCTGTTGCATGTTTTGTACGAGCTGGGCCGTGAGGACCACCAGTTTCGTCTGCGTTACAAGGGAGAATATTTGCGAGATGCCTACACTGTGGAGGACTACAAGATCATTGATAATGCCATCATTAAGATGGTCCCTCTTTCAAAAAGATTGGATCAGGTAGAACCGATAAAAATTTTAATGCTATTTCATTACCTCCATCAATATTTTATATGGTGAGCAGAAATTAACTTTTACTTTAATGAATATAATGATAAATTGCAGTTAATTAAAAATTCATTTCCATACATTAACATCAGTTTTATTCCTTTTTTGCTGTAAAATCTAAGTCATACTGATTAAAATTTTTCCTCCTAGTTTATTAAATACTGCTACAGTTTCTTGTTTGGCTCAATATATGCCCCAGTTTTTTTAAGCATATATATATATATATATATATATATATATATATATATATATATATATATATATATATATATAATATTTATATTATATTTATATTTTTATTTTATCTTTTGTGTTATTATTATTATTTCATTTTTCTTTCTCAGTCATTCCCAGACATACGGTCAGTGGTGGGAAATTCCCAGGATTTGGGTCAAGGTCAGGTAGAGGACGTGAAGAGAGCATTGCTGAGAGAAATACGTGTGTTTGACAGGAGAGAAAAACTGCTTTTTGATTTCAAGGTAAAGCAGAAGTTCAGGTGTTAAGTAGAAGCAAAAAAAATTAGAGAAATATTGTTTAAGTCTGAAAAAATAAAATTTGAACAGAAATCCAGAGGACGATTTATTTAATGTTACCTCATTTTAAACATTTTCAATTATTATTTCTTTTCACTTAAATATTTCTTGGTCTTTTATTCATATATCAGGGTCTGTTGTATCTGCACTTCATGGGGTTTTGCCTTGGGTTTCTGACCACCTACTGGTATTCTGGGTTCTGGACAGGGTTGGTGTTCCTGTATGCTGCCTTCTTATGTCCTACCTACACCAGGACCAGTGGCTTTGTGGGTGGAGTGTACGCATACGCACAGTGAGTGATAACCGGGATCAAAAGGAAAAAAAAATTAAAGTTTGTTTAAAATCTTTTTTACTAGACTGGTGTTTTTACCCCTTGAGAAGATGTTGACAATAATGAAGTGATATATTTAAAACCTTTTTATGATTTAGAGATTATAGTAACCAGTTGTGGTTTTTCATTGCTAAAGAATTAAAGGGATAATAACTCTTCGTATGATATCTATATTTCACAATAAAAACATTGTGAACAACTCATAGAAATATAATATATTCTGTTTTATCACAAAAACGGCAGTTATAGCTATTATTCTGATATCTGAGCCTGTCTTCAGATCATGTGACCTCCATTGATGACTGTACTCTGTTATAATCTCTTAAGAGATTTTATCAAAAAACCAAACTTTTTAGAAAAAAACCAGGGACTAACTTTGAATGTAAAAATGGATTCATTAACCATTGATAAGTATGGGAAAATTGTTATTTACTCCAGGAAAATTCATTTTTTGGCCAAAACAAGAGCTATTATCCCTTTATCACCCTTCATAATTATTTAATCTGTTGGAAAGTCACATTTCCCCCTGACCAGTTAGGCATTTAAAGATGTAATTTTTTTACTTGCCATATGAATTTGTGATATTTATTATCTTTATGAATATTTTTGCAGCAAACATGTCTTCTGTTTTGTGTATGGTGTCCTGTCTTTGCTGAACATGGGTGCTGCCATCTATCTAGCTTATCTGGAAATAGTCAAAATAAGTGTAAGCATTAAAATATGATTAATCTCAAATAACTTATAAGCTAACAGGCTTTTCCATTATTTACCTGCATTGAAAACATAAAAAGGATTTTTTCCATATAAATACCAATGCAAATTCATTCTCTTTGAAAAACATCAGCAGGTCATAACTCCAGTGGCCTTATTCTACCTTCACCTTGACCTTTCCAGAATCATGGCTGCCCCAACTTTGAGTTTGTAGGAGACTGCAGTCACTCTGTGATATTCTCCATCATCTACTACTGCTGCCAGGCGGTGGCTCTTCTTGCCTCCAGCGCCATCATGTGGGTGTTGGGGATCTGGAACTTCAGGATTCAGGTGGGAGACTACATAGAGGCAGAGCTGGTGAAAACAAGAGACATTGAGAAACTTCTGCTGACTGCTAAACAGGGAAAGTAAGTGTTTTCTTTCGTTTCTGTGTCCTTAATTTTTGGGAGGAAGCCTATTAAAGCTTTATAATTTTTGGAGCAGAGTATTCTAAAAGATAAGGAATATTTTTGGCTTCAATTTTTTTGAAATATATATATATATATATATATATATATATATATATATATATATATATATATATATATATATATATTTTTTTTTTTGTGTGTGTGTGTGTGTGTGTGTGTGTGTGTGTGTGTGTGTGTGTAGATATATATTTTGAAAAAAATTCATTTTGAAATCAAAAGAATGTAGAAAATGGAAATGAGCACTTCTGTAATATTGATCTATTCTCAGTAAAATATAACATGTTGCCAAACAGGTTTATGCTCCCTAGTTTGAATGGAATCAGTTATAAAAAAGCATGCTCTATATTTCAGACTGAAGGAGAAAAGGATAGCAGCCTTTGAGCTGGCCACCCTGGCTGCTGCGGGCGATGATAACAAGTTCAGAATCGTAGCAGAAGGAGGGTAGGTGTCCCTGTACAGTCAAATCAGAGCTGTGTTTTTTATAGCAAGAGTAGAAGTGTGTCATTCTTTTGGTGCATTTCTGGGTGTCATATTTATATGTTTGGGTTCCAAGTAAAGTCAGATTTTTTTAGCTTTGAGACTTTTGCTTTTGACAATATTGTTAACCATATAATATATAAAAAAACGATGTATGATCTATATCACAGTATCATTATTATTATTATTATCATATTGTAGATTGGAGATCCTGAATACCCTGTCCCTGTCCAGAGATGAGGCCACACAGGAACACGCTGTGGAGGCTTTGGCTGAACTGCTTACTGTGCCAGCTATACAGGTAATAGGGTCATGCTTTATTATTATCTTCATGTATTAAAATCAGATATCTATGTTTTATTAAGGGATTGCTGTTGTTTTCTTGCTGTAAAGTTGACCACACTGTGGGTTATGCATTACCTCCCCTAAAAAAATCTGTTTTCCCAACGTGTAAACAGTGTAAATTCTAAGCTTTTTATGTACAGACACAGATGTGTCTGTACATATAGCCATCATCTGCGTCTGTCGTCGCCGTCGCCGTCGTCGCTGTCGCCGTCGTCGCCGCGTCGCCNGATTAAAATTCAGTGTTGACTGACAGTGCTATTATAAGCATTATTTATTATTGCATCAAAATTGACAAAATGACCTATTTTGCATCTTTATTTTCTGTTTTTTGTCTGTACATTTGACAGCTTTGCTGCCTTGTTTAACCAAGTTATCAATTTTGTCTGTCCTAAACAAGTGACTGTTCATTTGTGTTAATTTTGTCAGTCCTAAATCAGTTTCTGTTAATTTGTGTTAATTCCAGGATCGGTATGTAGAGATAGGGGGTGTCCAGAACATGTCCACTCTGCTGCTGTCCCCAGACCCCAGGCTGGTGGAGGAAGCAGCACAGGTCCTCTACCAGATTGTGTCTGACTCTGAAGAGAACAAAACTGCTGTGGTGTCAGAACACGGGTGAGTCCATCTCCCTCTCTCTCTCTCTCTCTCTCTCGATGCCATACCATTCTACAAACAAACTCATTTATAGTATTTTCTTTAATCTATTACCACATTTAAATATAGTTGCATTGAGGTTTTTCAGGTTGCACAAGTGAATAGTTCTCAAAGTAAATAAATTTTGTTAAAACAAGTAAAAAGCCTTTGTCAAATGATTGTAAATTACGAAGCCTCAGAGTCAAGAATTTCTCCATTTTATCATCTTATCTAAATCCAATGAGAAACGCTTTTCATAATCATATTATTATTATTATTATTATTATTATTATTATTATCCATTCAAGCCTAGAAGACCTGGCCCGTGCAGCCAGAGATGGCACCATAAGTTGTCAGAGAACTGTAGCAGGAATACTACTGGAGCTGGCTTTTACCACAGAAATCAGGGGACAGATGGCAGCCATGAATACACCAGGTACTGGGATTACTGAGTTGCTTATTTATTTATGCTTCATTCTCTTCATATTGAACACATTGATCAGACCTAACCAGATCTCTCTCTCTCTCTCAGCCCTGATAAAACTGTGCAGAAGTAATGGTATTTCTATTTCCAGGAAAAGCCCTGATAGAGCTGTGCAGGAGTACTGACCCAGAGACACAAAGATATGCTCTGCAGACACTGGAACTCTTGGCAATAGAGAGTTCAGACATGATCTGCGCACAGGTGAGCCATGTGAGAGATATTCAAAATATTAACAATCTTTTTCCATTTGTATACCATGCTTTTCTGGTAGCCCTCGCTTGCAGAATATTAAATAAAGATTTAAAGCTTTGTAAAGTGTGTGTTTATGAGCTACATGTAGGTACAGAATTTGCACAATAACAACATAAAGCTGACGGGAGATCAGATATCAAATCTTGTAGCACTCTTGAAAAGTTGAAATGCAGAAAGGTGACTTAAATGCCCACCTTTTGGTCTGATATACTCCGGTTCATCGGTTTTGCCAAACAAATGGGAATAGTGATATCAATAAGATGGCTATTTCTCATTATATCTCTTCCAGCATGAGTTGATAGAAATCCTGCTTGGCTTACCCAGAACTACAGTGGATGAGAAGCTGTACCTCCTGGCAGGGAAGATACTGCTCTACTTTGCTGAAAATGCTGAGGTAACTGCAATAAAATCATGAGGCACAGCTGACAATATCTTTAAGTAAATGTGATTGTTCAGACAGCTCACCTAACAAAATCTTAAAGTCAATGTGATTGTTCAGAAAGCTCACCTAACACAATCTTTAAGCCAGTGTATTTAGAAAGAGCACATCTGACACATTTTTTAAGTCAATGTGAGAGAATATCTATCTCATCACACTTTAACATCACATTTGAATGGAATAAGCTAATAAGTTAATGCTTACATTAATTAATTAATTAATTTATTTACTTTTGTTCATTCCAGACATGTGAGTTGCTTCTAGACCAGGCCTCCCTGAAAGACTCTCTTACATTGTATGGCAAAACTAAAGACCCAATCTTACAGAAGGTGGTGGCCAAGATTATATTCTGTATGTTGGAGGATAAAGTCCTCAAGTGAGTATAATTTTGTTCTCTAAAAGAAAAGTTTCATATTATTCTGTCAGAGGAACAGTCCTTGTATCCTTGTGAGTTAAAAAAAAAGATGGTAAGAGGTCCACATTTTCAGAAAGAGACTCACCCCCCCTTTGAAGTTGCAAGCTACAGGCCAAGCATTAGAATTGAAAACTTGTGAATCTATTGCTTTGCATGGACAAAACATTGTTTTCATTGTAGGATCACAGGCGGACTACATCATACAATATGGAACCCAGCAAATCATTTCATTCAAATGCTGTTATTATAGTGTGGTAACTATAAAGGTATTATATACTTCATCTTCAGGTCCAAGGCCAAGTTTGTCAACCTAGGGGAGGTCCTGCAGGAGATCAGAGACAATGCGGCAGACAGAGAGGTGTGGGAGATGGCAGATGAAGGTGAGGCCACAAATACCAGTAATGCCATCTATAGAGTAGAACACAAATTACCAATAATGCCATTATAGGATAAAGTACATTTAACTGTAACATGGCCTGTTAATTTTAACAAATACTACCAGTGAGTAATGCCATCTTTAGCATGTGGCACATTTTACCAATAACGCCAACTATAGAATATGACACAGGAACCAGTAACGCCATCTATGGAATGTAACACATACTGCCAGTGTTGCCATCTATGGAATGTAACACATATCACCAGTAACACCAATTAGTTGTTTTAAATACTGTGTTAAAACACATCCTTTCCAATTCCATTTCCAGAACTACAAATTCTGAATGCAGATGACGATCTCCCAGTCCTCCCAAATCTGTCCACCATTGAGAAGCTCCAGAGGATGGACAGTAAGAAGGCGCAGCAGTATGGCTCCGGCTCACTCAGAGGCTCCAAGTCCTCGCTGAGGTCACTGGAGGACAAACCATCGGCCAGTGTTGCTGGTGGGTCCTCCGTGTCTTCTAACGACTTGAAGAAGGGAATAGATTGAGGAGGGAAGGAGGAATTGAGGGGGGGGGGGGGGGGGCAAAGGGAGTGTTTCCTCTTAAATAAGTCTACTTTGGACAGACAAGTTGGTTAGAGAAGGGGGCGTTTGGACTTCATTTTCATCCAGAAATATCTTCTGTTGACAGACATGTTTGGAAAGGGAAGAGCTACACCAAGTTTTTCATGAAATTTATTTAGACATACAGGTTAGGAATGGGGTTGTTGAGGATGTTTAAAATTCAGATTCTTGAGAGAAAGATCTTCCACATACAGACAAACTCACACATTTTGCTAATTAATAATATGTTTTGGCTTGCTGAAAAAGAGATCTGAATAAAGATACTGTTGCTTGATATAAAATATCAAGTATTGATAATTAAAAAGAAAAAATAGCTCATTTAAAGAAGCATTCCGTCCACTGGTCATTTTTTTATGAACCTGTATATCTAAGCATGAAATGTTTAACTTATATTTACAGTTCATATAAACATTAATTTTATATAATATTTATAGACCTTATATGGTTGAAACTACAGTTAATGATGGTTTACCTATCAGAATGTGATTAATTATCTTTATGATAACCAAGTGTGAACCAGACATTTCTATTATCTCTGCTTTTTGCTGCTTTGCTAGACATTGGCTGGTCCAATGCAGATATGAAAGTTTTTACTTATTGAAATGAATTGATGTATAATCATAGCTAGTCAGAATTGATTTTTTCTTTTAATTTAGTTGAAGTATAAAATAGGAATATATAAAAAAAAAATATAAAGAATTACTCTTACCACAGCTGCTAAGAATTTGGAATATACATATATATATATATTTAATCAAGCAGAATAAAAGTTAATTTTTAAAATAAAATATTTCTCTTCTTTACAGAGGCTATTTTTGCCTTCTTTATTCAATAAATCTTCATACTTATTACATACTATATTTTAAACATAAAAGTCGGCTCTTAAATGAGATTCGTATCACGTTTCTCAAATGCTTTGACCAATAAGAAGCTTGCTGGCAAAAACTCTCACACATGATTCAACCAATAAGCAGCTTGGTTGTAAAACTACATTTCTGCCATGACGAATGCAGTAACCATGGCAACAATAATGCAACAAGTTTCTATAAATATATCACTCTCCTGTCACATGCATGGCAACAATAACCATGGCAACAGTAATGCAACAAATTTCCACAAATATATCACTCTCCTGTCACATGCATCCCCCACAGAGTCTAGTATATATACATGTATTAACATTGTATTATCAAAGATAAATATGAATATATGCACTGTTATACTCAGTAATGAGGCTGGTACAGTTCTACATTGTCAGCAGGTAAAAATCAGCCAACCCTACCTCGACCTGTTATTGCCATTATACTTAGACATTTTATAGAATTTGAAAATATTACATCTATACAAAAATTACTCTAAATTCTAGCTTATTTCTAGGTGTTGACTGAAGTGATTTTAAATACCATTCTCATTTTGCAAACTTTATGTAAAATACACCCATGTTGTTTACAGATTTATTTATACTTTATTTTAATTACCAATACTATTTGAAAGGGAAAAAAATGCGCAAAATTTCTGCAAGTTCCATTACACTAGTGACGTTGACAAACATTTTTACTACTTTGACACTGAATCTATATTTCTACACTTACTCGAGTTGAATCTAACAAAGCTTTTGAAACAAGAATATATACTTGGTCTAGCAGCCAAGTGCTTAGTAGCAGCGATGGGATCTTTAAGTGAGCAAAGTTTAACACAACCCCTTTAGAGATAAGTTAAAATATGTACATGGGAGACATATCTGACAAATAATGGACTTTCAACTCTGGATATGCAATGGTGGGTTCATGGTTGAAGATGTTCAACATAATTTATCTGACAAACTCACATGAATACTGACCATTTTTATTAAATATTAAGAAACATTCTGTGATCAAACAGGGCAGGATATATATTCAATTTTCATCAGACAAGATTTCTTTTAATAATTTGGAAATATGTAAAATGACTACTTGGATAAAACAAAAGAACGGTTAGTCTAGTAAGTAATTTCATTTTACAACTTTTAGTAATTGAATTACTATAATACAGGTTGATACGTACCCAGATGGACTGTGGACAATTTGCACTTCAATATCTACAGCAGCTGGGAATTCTCAATTTATTTTCTTTTCCACTTTAAAGAATACATGCATCAGACATAAAGGTTTTCTTTTATGAAGGTCAGCTACACTGTGACCTTAAATATTTATTTAAAATATAATCAAGCCTATCTAAATAAATGAAGAAATAAGGATATACAAAACTTTGAGATAAATTATATTTTAAGTTTTTACTGAAGTTTCTGTTATAATTCCATTCTGTAGCCTTTGATAAACGGCAAACCAGTCTTTACTTGCCGCTGGTAATTCAAATACTCCTCCCCAAAGAAGTTTAATAAAGTTATCTCCTCTACTTCTATACGTTCTCTGAAAAACTTCCATGAAGTGACTGTGTAGCCGACCAGACAAATAGGATTGCATAGGATTATCTGAAAGATGGATTTATAAACATATCATTTTCTACATATCACAAACAAACATTGAAAATACATTTCTGAACTTATTAGGTATCCAACCTGGTATTTTTGTCTAAAATCAAATTTGCCTAAAAATAGTAATTTTCTCCTTCTCTCTGATAACTTCCTGACCTAATTGTGCATTTGATTAAATGTTTTACCCCATACATAATAAAATTAATTAGTTTTAAATAACTGACCAGATGTTAAGATTAGATGCTTACTGTGACTATTATCTATCCTACCTTTCGAGCATCAGCAGACACAGAAAATATGTCCTTGGAACACTTTGAAACACATATAATAACACCTAAGATATGTCAATAGAGGTAAACCATGACCATATTATATAACCAGTCTAATACCTGTATCAATAGATGTTTACCATGAGCATATGTTCACTATTAATATACCTGTGTGCCTATACTCCAATAGAACCAACCCACATATGAAGGGTGTCTGAATTTGCTATACACCCCGCGGGTCACAAGCACATGTCCCTCTTCCTTCACGTGTTGGACGTAATGGTTGAAGTTTGTTTTGGCTGTTATCATGGCCGCTTTACGGAGGGTCTCGCCTCCCATGACTATTAGAAGACCGAATACGCTCACCCATTTCAGCTGTTTCAGACCTAGAGGAAAGGAAAAGAGAGAAAGAATCATAAGTGATTCATTAATTTCAAAGATAAATAAATACAGAAACTACATAAATACATAATTAAAAGAAGCTGACACTAGAAACGCATGCTGATAACTACTGTAGAACTGAGATAAAACTTAATTTTCTAAACTTACTGCAAACTACCAACAAAATTTTAGACCTTGGATAAAATATCACAGGCCAAGTTGCTGTACCTTCCGTTTAGCAATGCTGTTAACGACCAGTAACCCAATCAAGACTAGATATACCTGGCAAGAAATACCACTCCACAGTAAACTCTACCCAGCTGGCCAGAGCAGCTAGCTTATACTCTGGACTGTGGTCTAGCAGATAGGAGTCCAGCTGTAGGCTGAAGGGGTTGGTGACTGCTGTGGTGAAGTACTCAGACCAGTGGAAGAAGCTGAGGGCCACCAGGTACCAGCCGAAGTGTGTCCATGTGGTGTCGGAGAAGGTGAGGATGAGGCCACAGCCGAAGACAAGACCCAGGAATGCTGCACGGCTGCTGACCTGGAGTGAGGAGGGTGAGCTCGGATTTTGTTTGTTTATTTCACTCTTTCTCTCTCTCCCTCTCATACACACACACACGCACACACACAAGCGCGCGCGCACACACACTTGCCTGGGTGATCTCTGAGTTTGTCAGTTTGTGTGTCTTTCTCCCACACATACGCACACATAAAGTGAGATTAAATAATTTCCCTTTAATTGGTTGGCTTGTAACCTGGCAGTTGGCCTTAAAATATGGCTTCAAAGATCTACAACATGCCAACAACATTGCAATTTGCAGCGCAACACGTACTTGCCAAAGTGTCCAATATCGTCTGTAAATCAACCGCCATAATGCAAAAATGAAAACTGAATAGATGCCCAAAAGAACAGGCAAATAATGTTCAACTATGTTTTCTGGAATGCGACCAAGATATCTGAACAAAGGCACGAAACAGATCGTGGAACCGCAGATAAAACTAAGCAGGCTGGCGCGCCCCTCCACAATGATCTGCGCCATTTTACCCTAGCCACGGAGAAAATAGAAATGTACAGGTACCCTCAGATTCCATTGAATGAACTCGTATAATTTTTAACATTTCAACATAAAAAATGTAAAAACGTAAAATTATTTCTTTGGTGTTTGAAAAATAAATCATTAAAGTGTTTAAAATTCTGTGTGGTATATTCACTCCGTTCCTACTATGAATACACTCTCAGCAAGAATCACGTTGACGGTGAGAGCACTGCTAGCGATAAGGCATTTAAAAAAAAACTGTACTTTAATTCAAATTCTAACTCATGTTTTTGTGTTTGAATACTTATTGCAAGAAGCAAATGTTTTACTTGAGAAGTTTGCATTTTACTTCATAGTACAAACCACTAGGCAGTCGATCGCCCTAATTTAGTTAGTCTAGCACTAGGTCTATTAGCAGTCGATCGATCATTACGTACCCCTACGCGTAAGGCCGAAAACAGCTGTCAGATTTGAATATCACATAAAACATGACATTATGAAGTATTTTCCAGAGACGGTAAATTGAGGCTGTGTTGTGGGAATAATGAGCTGGCTCACGGCAGCAGTGAGGCAGGCTTCCAGACTTGTGCCATTCTCAGGGACAGCAAGTAATACAAAATATATTCTTGGCAGATTCACAGGTAAAAAAACAAACAAACTTTTTACTCTCTCCCTTTCTCTTTCTCTCTCTCTCACACACACACACACACATATAATAGTTTATTCTTATTATTGATACATGCCTTTCTTTTTATGTACAGACACAGATGTGTCTGTACATATAGCCATCATCTGCGTCTGTCGTCGCCGTCGCCGTCGTTTCCGTCGTCGCCGTGCACTTTTACCGATAACACGATAAGTGGAAAATTGTTTTTTCTTTTGGCTTGAAACTTACAGAACTGATGAATATTCATAATACGCAAGTCAAGTTCGAAAATCAGCATGATCGGGTCACTTATAGGGAATTTATGCTGTTTTTTCACTTTTTTCAGCATATATGCAGCACCGATAACACGATAAGTGGAAAACC